CTACTTGTTTTTATAAACTTTAAAATATTTTATTATACTTATTTCAGATTTAACAGAGAGAGTTACGGCACAGATGTACAGAGAAAAAAAAAAAGGAAGAAATCTACTAGCATATTATTTATTTATATATATATATACACATACATATAGATAATTATATAATTAAATATACATAATTAGTTTTTTGATGAAATTTACATGTACATTTTAGAAGTAAAAAATTAAAAGATAATGTTTTATAAGTACTTTCTTTTGGGTCACTATAAAAAGCATGATTATTTAGAAAATATATGCTGTTGATTAATAAGGGTGATATGTACTTTATCTAGTTTAATCTGATACATTTCATTTTTTTTAACTTGATATAATTGTTTAGCATCAAGAAAGAAATACAAACCACTGTTGACATTGATGTCAAGAAAAAGAAATGGCAGAAATGAAAATTTACCAATTTCTTGATTGTTCACAAGATATATAATAAGCAGGTGTGCTTAGTAAACTGTAGTACTTGTTTCAAACAGTTAATGCACTGAAACACCAGTACTTGTAAGCTGTCAATTGGTAACTACCCTGACAAACTTTTATGTTGAAATGTTGTATAATGTTTGGGAAAATATATGTTTTAATTGTTTATGGTTGAGAGTAAAGTAATGTGCATAGATGTTAGTCTTTGTAATGAAGTATAGATGTAAGCATTGATTTTTACTTTTAAATATATAGTAAACAAGTCTGCTCATTTGTAAAAATTCAAACCTGATACTTTTTTTTTGTTTATTGCTATCTGACCCTTGTCAGAGAGTTTAAACCATTTAAACTTAGATTCTAAATATTCTTACATTATAGCATTTGAATTTCTTGAGGAGAAAGCAAAGTTTCATTGAAGCTAGAAGGATAAAATGTTGAAAAAATTAGAAATGCAGAAAGATTATTCAAAATTCAAGAATTACATTTGAAATGTATAAAAACATGTCAGGCAACATCTGTCTTTATCATTTGTTTATATTAAAACTTCATATTAAACATACATATGAGTGTCCAGAATAAATTGTTTTCCATGAATTATAAAATTTCTTTCTCCTTTTTCAGTTTTGTGCACTGCACCACAAAAATTCACTGTTGTGGACCCAGAAGGATCAATAAGACCCCAATGTTGCATAGATATGTGAGTAAAATATATGTTGTTTCCAAGTTAGAAGGAAATTTGCAATTCATAATTCAAGTTTTTTCAACTACAAAATTTCTATCTAGATACTTCTGGTAATGTCTAGTTGGAGACAGATTCATGTGGACAGTTCAACGTTTTAGTAGGCTTTTGTATAGAATAATTACATAATGCAATCAGAATTAATAGATTGAATTTTTGCATTTTTCTCATTAACTTACTCTGATCTCATTAACTGAATATGTAAATTAATGTTTAACTATAACATAGCTTCAAAATTTTGCCACTAAAGTTCTCCATACTAGTGAGTCCTCAGTAAACTTCTTTGTGAATTAGTCAGTAGAATCCCCTTTAGCTCTACACTTCTCAGCTGGATCCATCATACACCAAGGGCAAAATTGCACTTTGAATTGAAAACATTACCATAATTTACCAAATATAATACACTCCCAAATATAATATGCATTCTAATCTTCAGGAAAAAAAAAGAGTTTATTTTGTCTTATTACTGTTAACCCATTAACTGCGGATGATGGATATTTCCGTCATTGAAGTTCTATGGCTCATCTGCGAATGACGGAAATATCCGTCAGTCACACATATATAACTATAACTCTATGCAAATGACGAAAATTTCCGTTTTATTGTGATTGATGGCAACTCAGATTTATCTGTGAGTCAGGGTATCAGATTGGCACTCCTAACTCCAAGCAATCAGTGCTCAAAAGCTATAACTCTATGCGAATGACGAAAATTTCCGTTTTATTGTGATTGATGGCAACTCAGATTTATCTGTGAGTCAGGGTATCAGATTGGCACTCCTACCTCCAAGCAATCAGTGCTCAAAAGCTATTTAGTCAGAGAGGGTGATTTCAAATTTTTTCTCCTCCCTTGAAATGGCAAAGCGGGTTATTGTTGATGAAGAGCTTTGCCGATACCTTTGTGAAAGTGATGAATCAAGCTTAGATTTATCCTCTGATAGTGAAGAAGAATTTACTAATGAAGTCACAATTGATGATTTATCCGATAATGAACAAACAAATGTACCAAGTAGAGTGGTCACTCATCGGAAGCAAAAGAAATATTTTTACTTTTAGTGGAGATTCGGGTGTCAAAATAAAGGAAACCAATCCTGATAATGTTTAGGAGATTTTTGAATTGATTCAAAATGCTGAAATAATATTGAAAATTGTCTTGGAAACTAATGCGTATGCTAATGAAATTTGCAAACAGAAATTCATCTCAGGATTATTGAAGAAGAAAAGTAGACTACAAAATTGGAAAGACACAAACATCGTCGAAATGCGTGTACTCGATGAAATGTTGTTATTGATTGGAATAATAAAAAAACCTGATTTTCAGATGTATTTTTCAAAGGTTCTTGTGTTGGCAACACCTGTTTTTTGAGAAACAAAGCTGAGAGATAGATTTCTCCTTCTCCTGCAACACTTGCACTTCTCTGCTTCTAAAGACTCTTCAGATAAATTATATAAGATTAGAGATCTTCTAAACTTATACAAGGAGTCTTTTCTGAGTGCATATTTCCCTGAAAATATATGCATAGATGAGAGCTTACTTCTATGGAAGGATAGATTAGGATGGAAGATGTTCATCCTGCTAAAGCGTGCTCGATTTGGAATTGAGGGCTACTTTCTTTGCAAATCAAGCACAGGATGCGTGTATAACTTCGAAGTTTACACTGAAAAAGGAACAGATCTTCAAATGCCTCCTTGTGCTATTGAAATTGCACCTGAATACCTAAATCATTCAATGAAAGTCGTCCTGCATCTAATGACAGACCTTTTGGATAAGGGCTTTTATCTTGCAATGGATAACTATTACTCTTCGCTACCTTTTTTCGATTTCTTAGATTCCCACATGACAGATGAAATTGTAACTTTGCGAAAAAATCTAAAAGGAATTCCAAAGGAAGTTTCAAAAGCGAAGCTAAAAAGGGGACAAGATATTACCATGTATAAAGGTAAACTTACGGTCATGCAATGGAGAGACAAGAGAGAGGTGATGATGATAAGCACTACCCATGATGCTGAAAGAAAGACTGTAAATGAAGGTAACTCGATAAAGAGCAAGCCTCTTGTGTGTAGCGATTACAAGAAGGTGATGCAAGGCATGGATCAAGTGATTTCATCCTATGATACAGCTAGGAGTCATCTAAAGAAGTACTACAAAAAATTTATGTTAGATTCCTTGATATCGCTGTATTGAATTCCTTTATAATTCATAAGAAGCTTGGTGGAAAGAATACACTGCTAAAGTTCAAAACAGAACTCATAAAGTGGCTTACTCAGAAATATGGGGAATGCACTTCCAAAGCAGGAAGATATGCCCCATCATCATCTCCTAATTGCCTCGCAGCATGTCCCTTTCCAAACTTTACTCCTCAAGAAGAAGGAAAACATGGAAGATCTTCATTTCGATGTCATGTTTGTGCAGCTAAAGGAAA